GCAAAAAGAGTGAATTCTTCTGGAGTACCACTTTGAGGTGGCAGGAGCTCAGCTTCCAAATTCACCTGAATCAGGGTAAGTTTACCACAGCCTTTTCATTAACTTCAGAGAACTCTGATCAGACTTGAAAGCACCCAGACCTTAAGTCTCAGGACACTAGTGTCTGGTAGTTCTCCCTTTCACTTACCATATTGACATCATCCTCTGCAGCATATACTCCTCTCCTCAGGCTCTAAGGCTCTAGACTTGACAGTGGACCATTGGTATGCTTAGATTGCTAAAAACAGCATGGCTTTAKGAGACCAGATGAATATTCGTGCTCACACATCTGATAGTAAACTTGTTTAGAGGGTCAGTGTCTTGTGGAGCACTCACAGGGCCAAGAAGGCAATMCTGTTAGTTTTCAGGTCCTGGTTTAAGCCACAAATTACTGCTGCTGTACTTCCTACCTTAAATATAATTGAAAATTTGTCCTGACTTCCCATAAGTAACTATCTTCAATAATTAATTTTTCAAGAACAACTTCCCTTGCATCGCTACTGAAGCAGCTTCTGGTACAAGAGGTATTACACAGGAGTAGTCTTTTGTTGTAATGACTTCAGAATCTCTAAAGACACTTTCCTGAAGACTTTCACAGGCAAGTGATCTCTTCTCTGGGGATATCACCTCCATTACTAACAGTAAAAAGTAATGCCTAGAGATCTCACACCAAACACAATCAAATAAGGAACGGCGGTTAGATATTAACCACTGGGCAAAGTACTACAGACAAACTGAATCTTCAATAATTGTCAGAATAATACAGCTTATTGAAAATAGATCCTGGTTTACACAGAACTCCTAATTTACAATTAACTGTGGAAGTGCAAGAGGAAATGCAGCCTAAAGGAAGATAAACTGATAAAGCACACTAAATTGTTAAAACTTGCAAAGGCATTACAGTGATTTAAATCATTTTGAATTMTCCTGTAACACTTTCAACTGGATGAACAATCAACTGTCAGTCAAGTTACACTGTCAATATTCTACTTAACAGTGCCTAGAAGATGACTGTATGTTAGATTGAATTAACTCCCTTAATTTGCAGCTTTCTGATTACACATCCTAACTTAACAAGCAGAAGGAACCTGGACTCTCTTCATTAAAAGATTTTTTTCCAATATATTTGCCTAAARTCAGTGCATTCGCAGTCCAACAGAAACAACCCAACAGGTAGCCATAGGTTTCTTAAAAAAAAAATCTGCCTTGCTGTGAGACAAGTCATTGCCCTACCAGAACTACCACTCCCGTGGTTTCCTTTTTTTTTTTTTTT